GGCCTCTCTCCCAGGCCCACGACCACTTAATAAGTACCTGGTCATCTTGGTGGCACATAGTGATGACCACACTTGGAGCCACTCCTCTGCGCCCTGCAAGTGGCTGAGCTTAGGAGTGAAATGGAGACAGCTTCAAGCACAGCTGCACGTGATGCTCAGACAACTGGCCCAAACTCAAATGTAACAGTGAGAACAAGGATGGGTCCTTTGGCACAAAGTCATCTGCAGTCTTGGAAACACCATCCTAGAGGCTCCCATAAGTGTTCGGTGGGCTTTGTGCTCAACTCAGCCCCCAAGGTTGTTTCCCCGCCTACAGCTTCCTGGAGTGTCCCTTCTGTTCCTGAGCTCTGGGGCTCCGCAAAAGCACCTGGTCTCTTCTGTCCCTGAACCTTAGTCTCTCCATTTTTATCCCTAAGGAAAACTCTGTGTCTTGGACTCACCAAGGGCTCCCAGAAACAAGGAGCCTGGGGACACCTGAGGAGCCAGCAGTGAAGGCTACAGGAGCCTGCAGACACTGGCCAATGGACTGCACAGCAGCACCCACGCTAGTTAATGGACTTTATCCTCAGGGGGATAGACAAATGCTCAAAGATTATTCCACCCCCCCCAATTGCGAATTTGTACCTAAGAAAGATGAACTATAAAAGAGATTACCTACCAGTTGGAATTATCACTACACAATATATATCAAACCAAAGTATTTGTGAAAGGCTATTTGCTCTGAAAAATGCACTTAAGCAACCTGGATGCATATAGGGAGTCTATTAACACTGCCACCTTTAATTACAAAGATGAAATATATAGATAATATATTAAAATTCTATTAGACATCATTAAACTCTTTTACATACTTTAAGAAGAAAAATGTAGATCATATGGTAAATTAGCAAAAGTAAAATATGGAAATTTAAATCCACCCAGAGTCTGAATAGCCAAAATAAAGCCATATTAAAACCCAATCTTCTCGGGAACAAACAATCTGCTTATTATTGAAGAACTCCCTGACTTGTGGTTGAAACTCAGACATCAATTTTCATTTGATGATTTTGCTTTCGCTTGTTCAAGAGTTTGCAGAAGATGATCCTTGTGTACTTTTGTAGTTTTAAATGCCAATTATCTTGCAAAATTTGAAATAAATCTCTTCAACCAAGTTTGAGTCGCGCAGGAGGTTCAAATACATTGCCTGACCCGCAGAGCAATGACATCAGATTTCAGGAGGAAAATCCAATTATTCCACACTAGGAAGAAATGGTATCTTTTTGGGAAAAGAAATTATTCAAAAATTTTAGGGTGCGATTGAAAAATAAGAAAAGCAAAAGGTTTTTCAAAGTTTGAAATTGCCCAGTCCCCGGCTGCGGTATTGGTTTTCTGCAAGCTCACGATTTGTTGATGGAGTATTTGTACTGGGCACCTTGGAGGAAATGACTTACTGATTCTCACTCATACAATGTCATAGGACACCAAAAGAAAGGTTTTTCTCTGTTTCTCATTCTCTTGTTACTTATGTTTTGTGTTTAAAACAAAACATGGTGAATGCAAAATATAAAAAGAAACAGTGGTCTCTGCACTGAGACAAGATGGACGAAAAAAGTGTAAATACAAAATGAGAGAAATGTAAACCTTAAGGTATTTACAGAACCATTAATTTCCTCTGCACATATTGGAAATACTTAGGATTATCAGTTAAACTTTTAAATATATATTTTCTTAACAAGAGAAAAAAGGTGGGGTGTATTTGTGTTCTGATGATCACCTTAACTTTTCTCTTTCGAATTGCACTAATCGGGTCCCAACTAAAACTGTATCAATAGTGATCAGTATAGTTAATGCAAAATAGCCCTGCTATTGTTATTTCATAACTAAAAGGGTTTGGGCAATAAGATTTCATTTAGGTGCATTTCGCTGCCCAACACTGGTACTGGTCAAAGGGTTTTGTTACCTTCTTACATTTATAACGCTGTCATTCTGGATGCGTCAAACAGCTGCCAATCTTACATCAGAAGGAGACGATACAAGGGACATCAGATAAAGTCTACCCATGTCTGAGTCTCTTAAGAAGACATAAGAGACTCTAGAAACCACATCTTCAAACACAATACCTTCAGGCTTGATTTCTAAGCTGAGGGCAGATACACAGCTTAGGACTTTGAAAGTGCCTCTACAATCGACTCCTAAGGATAGGCGAGGCGGTGTGGGAGGCGTGTGGTGTGGAATGGGAACGGGGAGGTGAGACGGGAAGCTGGGCTGCAGGGGACTCCACTGCCCGAACCATCTCTGAGGAGGATGGGAGGGCGTACTTCTATCTGCAGTTCACCCGGGAACCCCATTCGCCTGCAGAAGCCAGAGGATTGCCTGGATTTCTCACCGAGATGTGGGCCTCTCCGCATCCAAGGACCAAGCACAAGGCCTGTCCCCTCTCACCCTTTGCCCGTGGCCTTTTAACCTCTGCCTCCTCCAGCCTCGTTGAAAATAACTCAGTTAAAATGAAGCTGGAGGAAGAATGCCTTCCATTTTATTTGGGAAACAGAATTGGTGGTCCACCATGGATGAGCAGTAGCATCTGAAGGAAAGATCTAAGGCAAAGGGATAAGGCTGACTTTTGCTCTCTTTCCATTTAAGTGTCCACTGTCCATTAACCCCTGCCTAGGTCTCAAAAAACCCCCCACAGCATTCATAATGTAGGGCTTCTCACAAGGGTTGTTATATTTTAAGGCACAACCTATTTCCTCACATACTTTGGCATCCTTGATCAGTGTATTTCCATCTTCACTGCCACCTGCCCCCGCAAATGTGTGCATGTGCACACACACACACAAGCGCATATAGACACACAGACACACACACACTTCTCTCGGGAACTTACTGGAATACCTCAATCTGAGGATAGACAGTGGGGTCCTTACTGCACTGAAGATATGAAGTAGCAACCAGGACAACTTTAGACTGTCTCACCAGGATCTTCGCTCTACTCCTCCAGCTCCCACTAAACACACCTTCTGACACATTGCCTGTCTTAACCTCTTGTATTCAAGGTCTTTCTTTCATACAAAAATCATACCCAGTATTAGTTCTTGGGAATCTCTCTATATATATTTTTTTACCCTAAACATGTATTTGGTGTGACAAAGACTGGTTCTTTGACACGGTCTTGGACTAAAATGGTGGGGAATGTCTGGCCCATAGGCCAAAATCATTTGATCTGGCCGTGCCAAGGCAACCACAGGTGGGACTTGAAATTCAATAAATCTAGGAACTTTTTTCATAGCTAATTTTTAAGTTGATAATTTTGTATGGCCCATGAATAATAGTATAAATATCCAAATGGCCCTTAGCAAAAAAAGGGTTCCCTATCTCTGGACTAAAAGAAACAAAACAAAATAAAAACCACCCATGACCATCACTGCTTCCCCACATATGGGAGCATGTGGATGGCTGGTGGGAAGTCTGCCACTGTGCCCTTTTCAATCAGACCATATTATTAATGTGAAGACAATGTGGCCTCCACATATGTTGTCCCAGTCAATGTCAGGGCTGATCTGGTGGACTGGGCTGATCTCACCACTCTCTGGAAACTACAAATGGTACTGAAGACGACCTTCTCTGAGACAGGCAACACCGGTCTTTGATTACGAATGTACAAGTAGGGTAACTCCCATGTTACAAACCTCAGTTAATTTGTAAATACGGGGCATAGCAATCTCATTTATCTGTCTGCCTTCCAGCATATCTGGACATTGAGATTTACCATTTGCTATTTAAAAACTCTTTTCTTGACCATATAGTTTAAATAAAGTAGCTTGTGTATATGCAGGTAATCTACTGAGCCAGTTATTCACGGGGACACGAATTGAGGAAGAAATGGAAGGATTACATTCTGAGATTTTATCAGAGATTTTTATGGGGAAATTTTCTATGCCAAGTATTTGGATAATGGAAATTTTTGTATACATAAAATGTGCTCAGTTTCCTCCAATCTGATACACAAAACTATACAGCATGTAGAGACGGTACCAGAATAATAGATGACTTAAAATTGAGCCCAAGACCTAGACTGGTTCTCAACTGAGTTTCCTAACAGTGGAATAGCCAGTGCCATCCATACATACAGCCCATGGCTAACCAGACAAGCCTCAACCTGCTCTCAGGCTACCCTAGGAGCAGAAGCTGTATTGGCTTTGCCAACATAATACTAATGCATAAAATACCAAGTGAAATGGTATTTTCTACATCCACGGGGAAATCCGTTCACTTATTCCACAAACATTTATTAAGCATTAAGTATGTGAGTGTATTGCTCTAAGCGCTAAGGCCACATCAGTGAAGAAAACACCCCCATCAAGCCCCTGCCTGCCACTGTACATATCTTCTAGTGAGGTTCTAAAACACAGGTTCCTAGAATTGTAGAAATAATCTGTTAATTTTTTGAGAGAAAAAAAATCTAATCAGAATCTTCTAATCTTTTTAAAAATTTCAGAATAGGATAAGGGTTACTGATGGTGAAGTTTCTCAGCTGAGCTGGAGGGAGGGACTAGTATCTGTTGGTGTGACCGTTACTGTAAGAGGAGAGAAAGCCAAGATACCAACTTTCTCCCAGGTGGGGGAAGGCAGAAGAGGACTTGGTAGCAGCGAGCATCTTGGCTACTCAGTCGTTTGACAAACATTTGTGGAATGACTATTATAAGATATTCTGATATACCAGTTGAATGATTTCCTTCTAAGACAGTCCCCTGCTCCAGTCTAATATTGTTGATGGTTTGTAAAGTTACTCCATGTCTAGGCAGGTTCTTAGAGAGAACAGCTGGGTAATGCTGCTGTGGAAATAACTGCAACTTTTACATGACAGTTGGAGGCATACGTTATAAATGGGAAATGTATGCATTAACATGATCAATGAGCATTATGGCATTGGGTCTTACAGAGCTGTGTCTATGGCACCAAGACTCCTACTGTCAAGGTAACATAAGCTATGGCCTGAGGGCTTCAGGCCACGCTGCTCTTACCATGACCGAGATATGCAGGATCCTCAGCTCCTCTTCTGCTGACTCATGCTGGGGTTCTTCGGTTGGGTCTTGTCCAGGGAGGCTCGGGGCACCGTCTTGGTGATGGATATGAAAAAGCAAAGTGCCATTCTCCAGCCACTGCTGCCTCCAGCGCACCAGAGGGATGTCCTCCGTGTTCCCTGAGATCTCTAGAGGACAGACACCAAAGGCACAGGTCAGAATTCCAACTGCACCCGTCCAAATCATCTCACTCATCTTTCTAGACACTGGTATCGATTAGCCAGCTTCAGCGGAAGACAACATAGGGTTCCAACTATAGTTAGGTCAGACTTACTGCTGCTCCAAATCTCAAGGAAGGGAAGAGACCCTGAGAAGAAGAGAATTATCCCCATAGGTTTTTGCACCATAATCTAGCGAGCCAGCCTCTCACCCACCGAGAAAAATACCAGGTAAAAATTCAAGTTCTTCCCCTTATTTCTATGATCAACAGCATCCTTTACCCAGCACAGTTTGAATAACCTCATAGCTCCCCCCTGGGGTAAATACAAGGCTGTTTCCCTCTTGTAAATTTGTAAAAATGTGAGTTCCCTGGCAATTACTCCTCAACAGCAGCGGATCTACCAGGGAGAGAGTTGGTAATTACTATGCAGAGACCTGGTACTTCTGGAAAGAAACATCCTGGGAGGTTACTACAGAGCAACTGGGCTAACAGGTTATTTCTAAAACCACAATCATTTTCTGCATAGTCCACTGGAGATGTCTGATACTTGCTGTGGCAGATAAAATAATGTTTTAATTCCCTTTAATTTTTCTCTTTACTTGTACAGAGCAGAGGTAGTGTACATGGAGAGGGTAGTGAGGAAGCAGGCCCTTAGCACAGAAACAAGCATTTACCTGCTCTTAGGGTGTTAGATGGAGGCACTGGTCTATCACCAACAAATTAGTAACAAAATTCAAACATGCACTTCACACCGTAGGTGCTAAGCTCCTGCTGCAGAGGTCGCTGTGACATGACCCTCTGGCTAACAGTCCTATACAACACCAGATTAAAGCTTTGAGATGGTCCACAACAGGGAGACATGCTCACCCAGCCTCTCCAGAACTTTATTTGGCTCCCAGGCCATTTCTTCCATAACAACTATCACCACTGAGGGAACTAGCGTTCGCTGAACACACTTCGTTTGGCAAAGCTCTGCTTCCTAAAACTTCCCTTTTGTGGGGCATGGCTTCTCCCAAAATGTATCACCTTTGACCAAAAAAATAATTCCATAGACATAAAAGAGATTTAATAGGACGCATTTAGAAGAGTATTCCCATCAAGTACTATAACCATAAAGAGGAAAGCAATTTTAAATATTTATGGAGTTTATGAATATCTTTCACTATTTGTGCAAGGGCACAAATGATATTCTGCTTTATTTACTTATATATGTATTCATTTATTTAACAGACACACACTGGGCATGTACTAAGCACCAGACCCCATTCTAGGCACTAAGACACGAATCTGCACGCGGCCCTCAATAAATTCTCTAAAGTAACCCCCGTGAATGAACGGGGCGAGTGCGGGAACACAGGAGGAGAGGCGCGCCCCGCCTGGGCAGAGCTGGGCAAGGGGCGGGCACCAGCCTTCTCAGGAGATGGCACCGGTGCGGGCCTGACATGTAGGTGACTTCCTTTTAATAGGTAGGTAAGTAGGGAGAAGACATGCAGACACGGGTAAGAGACTGAGGAGGAATGTGGGCTGGTCTTCTCAGGGTAGGTCAGTGACAAGAATCTGTACGAGTCACAGGTCACTGCACTGGGCCTAAAAGGCGCTGCTGTGATCGCCGATCTCCTCCTGCAGACCAGGGCGAAGACTAAACTGGAGGGTGCGGGGGAGGCCCGGCAGGCGGCCAAGACTCAGCCTTTCTCCCTGATCACCCAGGGGACTCGGTCACCCCGATGGGCGCTGGGCTGGTGAGCTGTGCAGCTCAGGGAAGGACTCAGGGCATCCAGCAGGCTGCTGTGGGCAGAGGGTGTGAGAATGGATGGCTCCCTGCATGCCCGGCCTGGCTTTCCCCAGGCACAGCCCCATCTGTTGGGGAGGCGGTGACACAGGCTTCCCGATCCACCTTTCCCCAAGGAGGCCTCCCGATTTCCAGGTGAAGGCCTCCTGGGTGCGCCCCTGAGGGTGCCTGCCTAGGCCAGGAGAAGCCACACCACACTTGACCTCCAGTCGCAAATCCCCCTGGACGGCACTTAACCCCTCACTCATCAAGCCTGCGCATCAAAGCACCGGGAAGATTCCTCCTGAGAAACACACCCTCCTCCAGTCAGTCCCTTTCCCATCACTGCTACAGAAACCAAACCCCATCTCCTTCCCGTCACAGACATAAGTGTCACCAGTAGTACCGGCTCCTAATGGAGCACCGAGCGGCCTAACTGAACCACCCCGCGCGCCCGGGATTTAGTCCACAGGCCCGGTGCCTCTTCACTCCTTCCTGTACCCGGTCAGGAGGAATCTAGACCCTCATCGCTCTAAAGCGCTTAACAAACTGGATTTTTATCTCCCAGGAGATCCTCAAGTAAGTCAGGCTCATTACCTCCGGAAGCAAACACAAGTCAAGACCCAGACCAAGGTCACCCAGACTCACAGAGAACAGGGGACGAGACGGATGAACTTCAGTCACTCCTGCCACCCCCAGCACACATATCGCACAGCCCGACCTTAGAACATGCACAGAGAGAGGACGCACTCAAGGGCTAAGTCCAAATGGCCTTTCAGGAGTTTCAGTGATATAAGGATTTGAATTTTTTGCACAAAGAGTCAGCATTCTATGACTTCATTTAAAATTAAGATGTAATCCACATACCCCAAAATTCACCCTTGCTACATATACAACTGAGTGGTTTTTAGTGTATTCACAAAGCTTTGCAACCATCATCACTCTGATTCCAGAATGTTCTCATCAGCCCCAAAAGAAACCCTATGTTCACTGGTTGTACAAGACACCTTTGGGGGAGGAAAGTCTTCTGCTCCAGGGTTCCAGGAGTGACGATATCAAGGAAGGAACAGGCGCAGTGGGAGTACTGACAAAATGCTCCCACGGGGGGTGGGCAGAGAGCACAGCATCTCTGGCCTTGGTACCAGGCCAGCCTCTGAACCTCTGTGTAGGTTTTGCAGCCCATCCCTATGGACAGTGATTTTTCCAGACGAGACTCATCACAGAGGGCAAAGGTTAAAGGAAGGAGGACACCGCGTCTGCCAGGAAGGGCACTGCCGTATTTTAGATTCAGGATAATTCAGGAATGATGGCTTCTTCCTCAGCTTTTTTCCCTTTCTTGGCAGGACCTGACATGGAAGAGCTAAACTGCTAAACCAGGAACTTATTTACTTATGCTATAGCTGCCTGGGTCAACCAATAAAAAAACCACACGGGGCACAATAAATGTCTTGTGAATTTCACTGCGGATGGGCTGAGATAGAGCCTGGGACATCAATGCAATCATGCTGGTCTGGATGTCAGCAGAATACCTCAGGAGGAGGAAATGCTCAGAAATTGCTTTACCGATGCCTGGCTGCCCTGAGACTTCCAAGGAGCAAATAGGGGAGGTGATAAAATAGTTACTCTAGTTACTGCACTGCACAGGAGGCTCAGACAGAGCCTTTGCTATAATGCACTGAACAAAACAAGTGCCACCAGAAGCCAACCCGGTCATCTCAAGATACCACAGGTGGCATGAATGCCAAATTCATCATCACACTTGGAGCTGAGATCTCCAGAAGGGTAAGGCTTTCCTGATTTCAGCGTGTCCATCCTTCCCCTTCCTCACACCTCACATCCCTCAGCACCTCCCAAATTCTGAAACTGCCTGGAAGACACAGAAACTAGGGTACTATTTACTCTTGAACACAACAAATGTTTTTGGAGCAACTGGGTGACATGGTCCCTACTCTTCAAGGAGCTTTCGATCTAGTAAGAATCTGAAGATATGGCCATGAGTAAGTCCTCTAAACAGTAATAGCAGTGCTGAGTGAGACGGTGGACATTGGCTGGGCATAAACTTAGGGGAAGGGGTCAAATGGGAAGAAATGTTGGGAGGTGACTGCAGATGAAGAGAATGGTGTGTACAAAGGAACAGCAGGACAACGCCTGTTTGCAGAACTGAGGGAGGTCTGTTTATGCTCCAGGGTGGAAGATATAAAGAGTAGTGGAGGGTTGAGGCTAAAAAATGCAGCTTGGTGTCAACTGTGAAAGTGGTGAATGCCAGTTTAAGGAGTTAGGAGCTAACGGAAAAGTACCCGTGGTTTTATTAAGCAGAGGAGCGAACAGAGCCACGATTCAGAAGGATCAAGAAGGCCCAGAAAGAGAGCAGCAAACACACTAGATTCAATCAGTCTCACTCTGTGACTCTGATCCTAGATCCTGCAGTGACCCAAATACTGAGCCAGAGCTCAGGAAACCTACGTCTGAAATAACCTTCAATGAATTGTCTAGCTTTGAGTACAGATGAATGTCAAGATCCTTTTATAACTTTAACCATCCATGACTGTAAGTCCAAAAGGGTGTGCTTCACATGGCCACCTAGAAAGGCAATAACTTCAACGTCACAAACAACGTCCAATCTTTTAAGTCTAACCTGAACACCACTTCTCCTTTCCCTGTGAGCACGGGGTGGACAGATTTGGGATGAGCCTTTAAGAGCCAGGCCCATCTTCAGACTGGACCTCAAGCTGGTGAGAAAGGTTCTCACTCACAGCGGCACAAGTATGTGGATTCTAAAGCAGAACCCTGGAGCTTCTGCGTGCAACAGAGAACCTGGACGATGGCCACTTGGTCAGGGAAAGTCACTCTAGAGAATAACCTGGGGTTGGGAAAGGCAGTGGGAAGGAGGATGAGACGGAATCACATTTAAATCAGCCTTAGTCTGTGAGCTTGTAGCATTGTTTTTTTGTGGGATTAGCCTAGGACACCCAAAACTTGCTACAAACATTCCTTTTCCAAGCATTACACCTTCCTCATGTCGTCCAAGTGCCCTGCTCTTGCTGTAGGCATTCGCTCATGCTCGGAACCCCTGAACTGAGCTGCTAAGACAATAACACATCAGGTTTCAGGCTCAGAACTTCTTCAAAAGATAACGTCATTGAGGACCAGATCCATGATGCTGTCTTTCAAAGAATTTGACAATTTAAAGTAAAATATGG